GTGCGGGGTGGGGGCCGGGGCGGGCGAGGGGCAGCTCCGGTGGTGGGATGCTGCTGCTGTGCCTTGGGCCCGGGAAGGGTCTGCGGTTTGCTCACCCTTCGCATGTGTGTCGGCACCCGGCTCCCTGCCAGCTCCGGCCTTTCCCCTGATTAGCCCACGAGCCCTGAGGCTTTAACAAACATTTTCCCTTTCAGAAAAGCTAATTATCAGAGCAGCCTTCGCCCTTGACTGGTGCTGCTGTGTCAGCCGGGAGAGCCCCTGACCCACAGCTTGCTGGTGCCTTGATTTTTTAAGCATTTGGAGGGCTGGAACTGGGCTGCAGTGTGGGACAGGGTGATGCTACTGCTGGTGCCGGGCTTGGGGCTGCCCCTGGGCTCGCTCGGGCATTCCTCTCTGGGCTGGTGCGTGTTGGTCCTTGTGCTTCATCCCTGTCTGGTGGGTGTCCGGAGGGGAAAAGGGAGGCAAAGCTGCCAGGGCAGGTGTGGACCACGGGCCCCCCACAGCGCAGGCATGACGGGGACATGGCAGAGGGCTGGCGCAGGTCTCCTCGGCTCCCTGTCCCCTCCCATCTTCGGGCGAGCGCATGTGGTGACGCTGCCAGCGCTTGGCATGTCTGCTGGGAGGGAAGGACCAGCTGGCTGGCGCTGGCTGTGCTCTCCAGCTCTCACAGCTCCTTCTCCGGCAGGTGCTGATGCTGGCAGATGGAGACAGCGCTGGGTTCCTCTACCGCCAGTTGCCTTTCCTTGCCTCCCTGGAGAGGAAGGATGGAAAAGCCACCGCCTACCTCTGCAGCAACTTCGCCTGCTCCCTGCCCGTCACCTCGCCCCAGGAGCTGCGTGGGATGCTTTGCCCGTGAGCCCTTCGGCCCCTCTGCCTGCAGGAGGGCGAGGGGGAGACAGACCGTCACGCCAGCCTGGGAACACGGGAGAGACCCATAATAAAGCCACCTTGGACATCAACTGCCTCCTGGATGGTTCTTGGCAGCGCAACGGGTCTCTGCCCTTCCCTGCCTGCAGCAGGTCGGGCTCTGCCTGCACCATTGCTCTGGCAGCATCTCGGCAGAACCGGCTCTGGTCCCGGTGCTGGTTTTGGCATGGCCAGGAGACACCCACCGAGGAGCATCTCCTCCCCCTCCACACGCACTCACCCCTCGCCTCTTCTCGACGAGGAGAAGGAAAACAAATTAAGTATAAATCCCAGCGTTAATGGAGAAGTCAGATGGGAAAACTATTAGGGTTCCTATAGCAACCCGGGGTAACATTTTCAAAAGCACCTGGATGACTTGGGCGTCAAGTGCTTTTGAAAGTGCTACCAGTTACAACAGCTGTGGTATTTTTCCATTACAGGGTAGATTGTAACATACATTAAGTTAATGTATAGTGCATGCAAAAAACCTGCTGATGACCACAACTGATGAAAACGTGCCACAACACCCAGCCTCAGCACTTCCAAATAGCTGAACATCCCATCCTGGCTCTGCCAAGGGGGCAGACACCTGGTACAGCCTGAGAAAGGACTTTTCCGTCTTGTTCCCTTTGTAAACGGCCAGGCAGCCCGTGCCTGCGTCCACGCTAGGATGGGGCTTGTGAGGCTGTGCCACCTCCCCCAGGACCCACAGCGAGGTGGGGAGCTTCCCCGGGGCTGGGGTGGCTGGAGGGGGCAGGGGCTGGGGCTGGGGACCCCGGGAGC